CAGTGAACGGGCGTCGTGTAATATTATGTGTTGTTTGGGTTGAAATTTGTGCTTCCCCGCATTAGCAGTAGCAGCCTATTTAGAATTTATTCAAACGTGACGTGTGTGTGTATATACGTATATGTATATATTCGTACGTAGATGTTTAGAATAGTACGTTATTCGTGCATTTGACCATTTCGGATCCGATTCAATGTTGGAGGTATTTTGGTGCGTTTGATACAAATAAATAAATATGTTTAAGAAAATCGATCGTTTGGATAGCTCGACCGGTGAGGAAGGAAGTAAAGTCCTTTCTCAACCCGAATTTGAGTCCTGGTACATTCACATGGATTTTCCGATTTTTTAGAAGATATAGTTGGACCAAAAGAGCGGTGAATTTCTAGATTTAAAAAATATATGATTATGAACTTGAAAGAGCAAAAACTGAGAGGGTAAGAAAGAGATAGAGAAAAAAAAAGGGCTTTATTAAATGATACATAAAAAAAAACATATATCCTTGTTTGATTTGTCCTTTGAATTGTACAAATTAATGTTGCCGGGTTTATTGGAATGGAGCATTCACACAATTCTTGCTGACGCATTCACATTGCGTCGGCTTTTTTTTTTTTAAAGGTCTACCAACCCTTTTGTGTGGACTTTGCTTTAGGCCCAAATACTACATTACTAATTAAACACGTATGGCCCAATATCTACCATCAATTATATATTTTTTTTTGTATGCCCATAATGATATAAACAATATTGCGGCCCATGAAATATAATATTATACATTTTTTTTTTGCTTGGTAGCAATTTTTTTATTGTTAAAAAACAATTGGAGAATCGGTTTCTCCAATTCTCTAGGATATTATAGTACGAACTTTTAGATTATAAAAAAAATATATTCCATTTTCTATTTAAAGGTACATCACGATGGTTTATATATGGCCTTTAATGAAACCCTTTTTGCAAAATGGTGATGAACATCTAGAGAGGTGTCAATCGATCCGATCCGAACCCGCATTCGTAACGAAGGTATTCAGACCGGTCCGAATTTTTTCTAACCTGTAAAACCGAGTTCGAAGTCCGATCCTATAAGATTCGGAATTGGGTCAAGTCGGACCGGACTAGTCCGCTTGATTAGAGTTCTTTTTCCTTCATTTGAATCACTTTTTTTTACAATTGTTTTTTTAAATCATGCTCTTTAACCGTTGAAACGGTACGTACACAAGATCAAGACCGGGAATTCAATTCAATAATTAATAAAAACTTTTGATAGTCTATAATCGCCTCAAGCAATGGATACATCATCCAGTTACCTCTCTCGAAAAAAATCTATATATATATATATTTTTTTTTCCTATAATATATAATTCCTGCTTTTGTATATACAGAGGAAGATGCAGAAACCATCAAAGGGGGATTTAATTCCTAATTCTATTAAATTTAAAAGGCGACTAATTAAGAAGCGACGCTTATCTCCTTCCCTGCCTCTCTCGGCGCCATAAAGCTCACTCTTTTCTGCATCCAAAAATAATATACGCACGTGTTTTTTGTTCTTATACTGATCGAGGAAGAAGGAAACGGAAAGAGAAGTAAGAGGAAGAGTCCAGTAGGACAAAACTCACCTCACGGGCCTTGACTCCTCCACCAAGGCGGCGCGTGCTGTCACGCGCGTCTTGGTCCCTCTGCTTAGCCACGAAGAGACCGACGATCTTCTCGGCGGCCTCGGCCTCGGTCGCGCTCTCCCTGACCAGCCTCTCTATCTCCGCCTTAGGAACCCTAACCTTCACTCTGACAGATCCGGCGGCGGCAGTCTCGGCTTCAGTCCGGCGGCCGGAGGGATTGAGGATAGACAGATCGGAGGCGGATCTCCGGGCAAGCACGAGGCTTTCCAGCCTCTCCTGGGCGCTCATGTGGATTCCCGATCTTACCCTTCTCGGCGGAATACCCTCTCTCTGCCTCGGAGGCTCCACCAGGAAATACAGCCTCTTCGCCTCCAGCCTCTGCCCCGCCTTCACCACCCATTATCATATAACCCTTTCAGTCACATGAAGCAAAAAAAAAATATTGTAAAGTAAATAAAAAAAAAAAAGAGACCTGGAGGGGCTTGGCTCTGACGCCGTAATGCTTGACGGCTTCTGAGTCCAACAAGACGAGGCCTGGATACTCTTTCAGCACCTCCTCCGCCGTCATCGGCGTCTTTATCTTTAACGTCTCTCCGTCTATCTTCATCACCTTCGCCGTTTTCTTGCCCCCTAAGCTATTACCCATCTCTCTCTCTCTCTCTCTCTGAGATCTGATTATTAGATGGATAAAGCTTGGACCTTTTGGGTGTGCCACCGTTCTGAGGCTGTAAATTATGTGGTGCTTTCAAAGCTTGCCGGATTTATAATAGAGACTTGAGTCGACATACATTTCTCTCTCTCTCTCTCTCTGCTCTGCCTCCGCCTTAGGAACCCTAACCTTCACTCTGACAGATCCGGCGGCGGCAGTCTCGGCTTCAGTCCGGCGGCCGGAGGGATTGAGGATAGACAGATCGGAGGCGGATCTCCGGGCAAGCACGAGGCTTTCCAGCCTCTCCTGGGCGCTCATGTGGATTCCCGATCTTACCCTTCTCGGCGGAATACCCTCTCTCTGCCTCGGAGGCTCCACCAGGAAATACAGCCTCTTCGCCTCCAGCCTCTGCCCCGCCTTCACCACCCATTATCATATAACCCTTTCAGTCACATGAAGCAAAAAAAAAATATTGTAAAGTAAATAAAAAAAAAAAAGAGACCTGGAGGGGCTTGGCTCTGACGCCGTAATGCTTGACGGCTTCTGAGTCCAACAAGACGAGGCCTGGATACTCTTTCAGCACCTCCTCCGCCGTCATCGGCGTCTTCATCTTTAACGTCTCTCCGTCTATCTTCATCACCTTCGCCGTTTTCTTGCCCCCTAAGCTATTACCCATCTCTCTCTCTCTCTCTCTCTGAGATCTGATTATTAGATGGATAAAGCTTGGACCTTTTGGGTGTGCCACCGTTCTGAGGCTGTAAATTATGTGGTGCTTTCAAAGCTTGCCGGATTTATAATAGAGACTTGAGTCGACATACATTTCTCTCTCTCTCTCTCTCTCTCTTTTTTTTAAAAAAAAATCAAATATAATTATATAGGAAAACATGCTAATTATACACATCTTTAGATACGTGATGACGTCATTGCCTTGACAATGTTTTTAAACTTTATTCAGCAAATTGATATGCTCATATGGCCACTGCTCTATAACTCGATAGAAAAAAATAATTATGAATTTTGTAGAAATCGCGATATTGTCCACACGATTATCTGAAGGAAAAAAAAAACTATTGCATTAGCTAGTGAAATGCTGAATTACGAAGCTTTTTATCTGAATTTGGCCCTTTTTTTAATTAAAGGTACTTTGAATGTATGATTTGTGTAATTTTCAATTCGTAATATAAAAAAAAAAAAATTGGAAAAGTACTAAACTTTTTGGGTAACGAAATTGGAATTTTTGTTGAAATTCAGTCTGACTTTGTCGCAACTTTGAACAGGACAACATCATGCGGTCCAACTATTCAACTTGGTGGACCATGCGCTTTAACTTTTGTCCTTCGCCTTTCTCCAACCAATTTGGTCACGTATTAATTACTTTGATTTCTACATAAACATACATTAAACTTTACCATATGTTGCGGAGATGAGCGGTGGACGTACGTGATTACCTAATCATCGTAAATTTAATTTTCTCTAATTTTTTATTATTATTTACCCAAAAGCTAGTTTTTACGTTAATCACGGATCCCAAAGGGGGTACGGAAACTGATTAAGAAACCATGCCTTCGATTTTTTTGGTCGTGTCATAATTAATTTTGGATTATGTGTATACAAAATCATAGATACGGGAGATAAAAAAAAGTTGTGGAAAATTACAACTACTTCAAGATCAATTAGTTAGTTATCTTCCGAATATTATTTCCGGGGAAATTTTTTTTTTTTATGGCTGTTATGAAATTCCCGTGGTGCATGGATCCAATAATATCAACTTATCAAGTATTTAAAAATTATATCATGAGAAATATTACTAAAATTGTGATTATATGTACATACATATATAGTTAATTATTTATCATGCATCGTAGAATTTCAAAAGCGAATGGTTTTGTACGTATAACTTTTAAGTCTTTTACATATTGGGGCGGAGATTTAAAAAAAAAAACGCTATTTGCATTACATGGGTTCCGAATTTGTATGGGTGGATAAATAGTGTTACAGCGAGTGGCGATAAAAAGTCCAAATTGATGGTCCGTTTGTCAACTTGGAACTTCGACATTGATGACTTTGCAGTCCACGTAATCTTTATTATCATAAAATTAATTAAACGCACATGTATACGTATATTTATATAACTTCTCGATAGAGAAAAAAAATACAGGTTAAAATTAAATAAACATATCGTAACTTGAAAACATAACTTAAATAATCTGGATGGTCTAAGATTGGATGATTAACTGATAAACGATGGAACAAAACTCTTTCTGTTTCGAATTTTCATTTGGAAATGATATTCAAATGATCAATTATCCTATCTTTTGAAAATTATAATTGGGTTGAAAGCTAAGTGAACGTTTAGATCAGAAAAAGAAATGATCTGGACGGTTAAAAGGCATGTAGGGTTCGACTGATTGTACCGCTGCGATTGCGGTTGTGGTTGATAACATTTTCAGAATGTTTGGTAGCGATTGTGAGCGGTTGATACTGACTGATTTATAAATGACTGTTTGTTGCAATTGCGGTTGGTTGCGATTAGAAGTGAATGGTTATCCACAATTGCGGTTGCATTTTGAAATAAATTACAAAAAAGGGACATAATTTTAATATAATTTTTTAATTAATTGTAATTAATTTTTATATTGTCATTTGATAAAAATATTATATATAATTTATAATATAATTATATAAAAATATTTAAAATATAAATTCCATTAATTCAATATATTTTTAATTAAAAAATTATATAATAAAAATATTAAAATTAATTATTGATAAATCTAAAAATTATACAATCATGTTATACTATTAAAACATAATATCAAAAATTAAATTCAAATCATAATAACTAAACAAAATCATCAACAAAATAGTGCCATGAAAAGACAGCAAAATTCTTCAATCACACATGTTAACGAGACAGTGAGCTGCCCTTACATTATAAGTAAAAGGATCTGTGTTGAACACTGAAACCAAGTTTGACTTGTTAAGACAATTTTCTTAACCAATGTGTGACTCACTTCTCTTCAAGCAGCTTTGGCAGGACTGAATCTCGGTAATACAGAATAGGAGACCATGCTTTAATTCTGAAGTTGAAGACATTGCTCATGTTGTAGTCAAATCGCTCCATTAAGTATTCAGGAATCTTATCAACCACTCGTACATCATTTGCTAAGGTACTGACAAAGAATTCTTCGTCGTAGATTTCCCCAAATTTACTGGAAAGAAAAACAACTATCAGAAAGTAATGAACAAAATGATGGCTTCACTTATGTATTGTACATCAATGCAAGTTGAATCCTGCGATGTAAATGAACTGATCATTAAACACTAATTGTACATAATTACTCATGTTGTTTGTATAGTTAACCTTGTTCTATATATATATATATATTATATTTTCATTCTAAGTACTAATCTTTGTAAACATTAGTAATTCTCTTAAATTGTTATAGAGAAATTACAATCTTAAATTCAAACTTTAACCAGAATAAACTGAAAACAAACCACCAATATTTCATCATCCATTGGATGTAATATCGGGCACTTGGAGATATGAACGTTCAAAGGAGGAAACACTTTCATATTTCTCACACCTCGATTCAATTGAAACACTGGTAAATATACAGACCCACAAAGCAACAAAACAAGGACAATCCCTTTATCATCATTTTCTAGGTAACAACACCTCGTTCAGGTATTTCACTGAACACATTCAGGACATGATCGAGATCTCCATTATCCAACAAACTTCATTCTACAATACAGTATTTTTGTCGAGAATATCACCAAACACATTCAAATAAAGGCAGTCAAAGAGATCCATATCATTAGATTTTTGAAGTTCACATCCATATCAATAAACAAACAGATCCACAAAGAGAAAAGGGAATCTGAGAGGATTTTTCGTAGAAACAGAGATATATCTGGAGATGACGGAGATGATGAACTTCAGCGAGCTCCAGCAAAGCGAAAAACACTAATCGACAGAAGAACAAAGAAGAAAGTGGGTTTGACGGAGATGAAGATCGTGAGTTTCAAAAGCAATAGAGAAAACGAAGAGAATTTTAGGGTTTTTTAAAATTTTTAATAAGGGTATGTTGGTCTTTTAATTTAATTGTAGGAAAACGCTACCGAAACGTATCTATAAAGTAGCGTTTAGATTTTTGAAGTTAGGTTGCGGTAGGGTTTGTCTGCGGTTTAATCAATCAGTTTTGCACCTGCCACCAACCGTCAAAAATCGCAACCGCTCCGTTTGCGGTTGGCAGCGGTGTAACCAGTCACCCTCGTAGTATAACACGCGTGTACACAATGAATGTTTATCCGTTAAAATTTATAAAATTCATTTCAAAGAACGTGAGTAGATTGTGCGGTGTGCATACGTTCACATTACATATGCATGTGAAGTATGTGATGCATGATATGATATCTATTTATTCTTATTTATTATTATTCTTATTATTATTTGACAAAAAATAGCATCGTCCGTACGGAATATCATGACCATCTAATATGCATGTGTGTGTTTTCCCCTTCAACAAAAAATGGTCAATATATAATTATGTTATATAATGAAATATTAGAATCCTTATCGTAAGTACTAAGTAGCCAGCCGAGAAAATGGAAAAATCGAAATAGACACGAGGCTGCATAATTTTGCAAACATTGGACATAAAAGAAAATTGATACACAACCTTTCTTAAATATCGTTGAAGGTTGAAAATTTTGTATTCGAGTTCACCAAAAATTGGGTGACTTATCAATAATTGATAAGATTAAAGTTAAGGGAAAAAACCCTCAAAATTCCTGAACTTGTAATTTGGTATAATATAAATTCCTGAACTTGCAGAGGTGCTTATTAATTCCCGAACTTGCAAAATTGAACATGTTAATTACTGAACTTGTTAATCCGTTCCATAACAGTCCTCACCGTTAATTGGTCAACGAAAAGGGTTGACCTAGTCTACATGGCGTGTGACGTGTCGGGCCAGTTTAGAAATTTTGTGCCACGTATGCAATTTCAAGGTTTTCGAAAAAAACCTGCGATTTCGACGAGGATGAACAGTAAACCGGGCTTTCTGAAAAGCCGGTAAATGACAATGATGACGTCATTGGATACATGAAAAAGGTAAATGGTAACAAAGTGATGTGTTTATTTCGGTAATGATCATCAGAAGAATTGTGTCGTCATATAGATTTATGATTTGGAGGGTTCTTTTTTAGAATTACAGAGGAACATAGGTACTCCGACGAAAACCGTAAAAAACAAAAAACGTAATGACGCAAAAGGGAAAATTTATTCGGGGAAGGTTCATCAATGGCGAACCGGTGATTCAGTCCCCACATCAACTGTCGTAGTTTCAATTAGGTAAACTAAATCTCACCCTCTCTTTTTTACCCGATTCTGTATCCGTTTTTCAATTTCTCCCCCTCTTCAATGCCCTCGTTTTCGTCTTCCACTATTTGATCTGACAACTAAAGAACTTCGATTTCGATTATGCATGAAGCTGTAGAGTCGTAGTTGATTTTGGCTTTGATTCTTTGAATCTGTTGCTGGGTATTGATGTCTGATCATTTCTATAATCGGAGCTTTACTCGCTAGGGTTTATCTTTCATGGTGGGTTCGTTGTTTCGCAATCCTAATTCGGATTAGGGTTTTTGGGTCTTTGATCTGGTCAATGTGCGAGGGATTTGATACTCAGTTGTGTTTTCCTGCATCCGTATCTTGAATAGGAAGAGAGGATTTAAACCGGATTTACTGTTCATCCTCGTCGAAATCGCTGGTTTTTCGAAAATCCTGAAATTGTATACGTGGCACAAAATTTCTGGACGGCCCGACACATCACACACCACGTGGATTAGGTCAACTCTTTTCGTTGACCAATTAATGGTGAGGACTGTTATGGAACAGATTAACAAGTTCAGTAATTAACATGTTCAATTTTCCAAGTTCGGGAATTAATAGGCACCTCTGCAAGTTTAGGAATTTATATTATACCAAATTACAAGTTCAGAAATTTTGAGGGGTTTTTCCCTAAAGTTAATTATCAACTCAGGTTTGAATCTCTGCTAAGAGAAAATCATTCGCCTGAATTTTTTTCTTAGAAAATATAATTGGATCGAAAATCCGATGAGTTTTTGATTATCAAAGTTTTTTTTGAGATCTATGTGCGTAAGATTCAATTGGACTAGTTGGCATAAAAACTCCCGCATATAAAATGTAGCGAAACAATATTATCATAGGATCTAACTATTGAAATAAAAAAATGAATATATGATTGAATAAAAGTACAGATTTTAAGATATTATTTTTCAATAATAATGAACACAATATTTAACAATATTGTGTATCATTCTTGTATTCGTTATATCTATATTTATTTTTTACATCACATGTTAATTTGTTTATAAATATGTGATATTTTCATTGTAATGTAATAAGAAGAAGAAGAGATGTAGTAATAAAATTAATTTCGTTTTTTTTTATTTGTCTTTTTTTCTTATTTAATTTTCGCAATTTTATATTTCTACATGGTATCAGAGCGTTTCGATATGCTCTATATCTTTTTTATTTTTCAATCTTTTTTTTAGTTTTGGATATTAATATATCCAAATCATTTAAAGAGGAATAAAAATCCAAAATCAAACGAGGTGTTGTGACAAAAAGAAGTCAAACCTAAAAACTCTAAGGTCAAGTGAGGTGTTATGATAAAAAGAGTTAAAGATAGAACTTCAAAGTCAAGCGGAGTGATTTAAAAATGAGTAATACATTTTAAAAGAATTAAATTTGGTGTTTATAGATTTTTCTAAAGACAATAAAAATATCTATGAATTTTTCTCGTATTATCTTTTCAAGATTGACTTTTGCATTCTTTCAAAATCAATCTTGAGAAGAATGTTAAAATAAGAAAATGAATATACATGCGATTGTAGAAAAGTATATATTTTGAGATATTATTTTCAATAATAATGAACATAATATTATGTATTATGTATCATATTTGTTTCCGTTATATCTATATTTTTTTTACATCATATGTTAATTTTTCTATAAATCTGTGAGTTTTTTTCATTGTAATGTAATAATAAGAAGAAGAGATGTAGTAATAAAAGTAATTTCGTTTCTTTTTATTTGTCTTTATTTCTTATTTAATTTTCGTAATTTTATATTTCCATATGTAGAAATATAAAATTGCAGAAATTAAATAAAAAATAAAGACAAATTAAAAGGAACGAAATTACTTTTATTACTATATCTCTTCTTCTTGTTGTTACATTATAATGAAAATAACTCATATATTTATAGAAAAATTAACATATGATATAAAAATAAAATATATATATAACGGAAACAAATAAGATATACAATATTTAACATAATATTATGTTCATTCTTATTGAAAATAATATCTCAAAATCTATATTTTTCTTCAATCACATATTTATTTTTTAATTTCAACAATAACAAAAAAAATTTTTTGGCAGGTGTACATACATAGTCACAAAAGTTTTAAATCGATTTTTTTTATAAGATAAATCGTTTGGAAAGAATATTTTCTATTGTTTCAATTTTTTCACATTATTATAATATATCATTTCATTTGTTTTTGTTTGTAAAGCATTTGCACATTACACGTATATAAATAACACACACAGTGAGAGATAAGTTTTGGTTTGGATACTCAATGTAAGGTATAGGGATGATTTATTTGTTTCGGTTTGGTTATAATTAGATTTGGTTATTTTGATTTAGAAAAATTATAACCATTTGATTTTATATTTAATTTGATTTAGTTCAGATTCAATTGGATTTACAAAAATATTCATTTTTTTTTATTTGTTTCCATTTGAATTCAGATATTTTTTTTTTAATTTTGGGAAAAGAAGAACTATTCAATTTTTTTATTCGAAGATTTAAGTCTGATTCAATTCGGATGGTTAGATTATTTTTCCAACACTACATAATGATGCTCAAATGCTCATTTTGTGAGTATTTATGGGCCGACTATTTGACCCAATAATCAACGTAATGGGCCTCTTCAACCCGGAATTGAGTAAACCGACCCGAGAGTTCATCTCACGCGCCAACCCGTTCAAAATCCCATTCCTGATTTCGCGGCCTTTTCCTCCTAAACAAACTCACACCTTGCGACACACTCTCCGATTCTTCATCGGATTTCGAATATGGCGAAACTCGTCGAGACCTTTGCTTGCGTTCCTTCGACGGAGCGTGGCCGTGGTATTCTCATCTCCGGTGACCCCAAATCCCATTCTATTCTCTACTGCAATGGCCGATCCGTTTTGATTCGGAGTCTCCGTCGGCCTCAAGACGTCGAGGTCTACGGCGAGCATGGTTATCCCGTAACCGTCGCTCGATATTCTCCCAACGGAGAGTGGATTGCCTCCGCTGATGTGTCGGGTACGGTCCGGATCTGGGGAACGCACAATGGGTTCGTGCTGAAGAACGAGTTCAGGGTCCTCGCTGGTCGGATCGATGATCTCCAGTGGTCTTCCGATGGCTTGAGGATCGCCGCGTCCGGAGATGGAAAGGGAAAGTCATTCGTTCGAGCCTTCGTGTGAGTTCTCTTCCTCTGTTCCCCCATTTCCTCTCAGAATACTTGCTTTATTTTTTATCTTCGTTTTACGATTCCGATAGTCTCCTCGAATGCTTTTGGTGTTTACTCGCTTGTAACGCCAACAGATCAGAATCTATGGACATTTCCTCGTGTAGATTGTATGATTAATTGTCTAATATGTTGTTCGCCACTGCATATGCTCTTTACTTTGCTAATAATTTCGTTTTAGCTTTATTCTTCCTTCACGATTTCGACCATCTCCTTTGAGGTGTAGAATTTCGTTTGTTATGCTGTTGAGATTGAAATCTTACTAATAATTTCTTGGTTTGGTAACTGACACGCATAGATTTGAGAATTATAATTCCCCAGGCTGTTCATTCGTGCAACTTTCACTCCTGGTAATATTTTTTTCGTGAATTTGTTAGCTGGGATTCTGGCAACACAGTGGGGGACTTTGATGGCCATTCTCGGAGGGTTTTGAGCTGTGCGTTCAAACCCACGAGACCTTTTCGAATCGCCACTTGTGGGGAAGATTTCTTGGTGAACTTCTATGATGGACCTCCCTTTAAGTTCCATTCATCCCACAGGTAAGTTTGAAACAAAATCTCATTTCATATGTTTGTGTGGATGTTTCTCTTCAGTTGCTAGGATGACATGTTTCCGCATTTGATAAGATACGACAGAGAGCACAACGTTTGAGGTGTTAATACTTGAGATTTTTCTCTGGGAATTCTTGTATAGGGAACATACGAATTTCGTCAACTGCATCAGATTCTCTCCTGATGGTAGCAAATTCATCACTGGAAGCTCGGATAAAAAGGGTATGATATACGATGGAAAAACAGGAGAAAAAATCGGAGAATTAGCCTCAAAAGACGGTCACGAAGGCAGCATCTACGCTGTTAGCTGGAGCCCTGATGGCAAACGGGTAACCATTCTCATCATCATATGCCAACATTCTGCTCCGGTGCAATGTCTCATGGTTTTTTCATCTCGGTACTTGAGTGTTGCTGATATCATCAAGTTTTTAGGTACTCACTGTATCTGCTGACAAGTCTGCCAAGGTATGGGACATATCTGAAGATGGATCTGTCGGCTCCGTGGTAAAGACATTGATAAGTTTCGGATCTGGTGGAGCGGAAAGCATGCTTGTTGGATGCCTTTGGCAGAATGATAATCTCATTACGGTATCACTTTGCGGTACCATATGCTTGTTTGCTGAAGATGATTTTGATAAGCCTCCGTTGCAGCTATCTGGACATACAAAGAATGTCACTGCATTGGCTGTTCTTGGGACAAACCAGAAGACAATTCTGTCTAGCAGCTACGATGGCCTCATAGTGAAATGGGTACAAGGGGTTGGGTACTGTAGCAAGCTACAGATGAAAGATGGGACCAAGATCAAGCGCTTAGTGGCTAATGAAAACAGCATTATCTTATCTGGGTTTGATAACAAGGTATATGTATATCCCATCCTTCTGATTTTCAGGTGGTATCCCCTTAAAACTTTGATTAGGGTCTTGGTATTCATGAATATGAATGAGTTCAAGTCTTAGTGTTTGCTTGATTTTTCCGTTCTTTTTACATCAACATTGCAGTTTCAGCACTATGTTGTCTTAAAACGTTCGTTTCGATTGACAGGTCTGGAGAATTCCTTTGGAAGATGGTGAATTTGGAGATGCGGATCATATCGATATCGGGCATCAGCCATTGGATGTAAGCATAGCCGTCGACTCTCCCGAATCAACAGTACTGGTTTCATATGATTCAGGAGTTGTGCTGCTGAAAGGTCATATCGAAATCTTGAGTAAGATAGAGCTGGGATTCCCTGTGGCAGCTTCTGCCATTTCGCCGGATGGAAGAGAAGCCATTGTAGGAGGTCAGGACGGAAAGTTACACGTATACTCCGTATCAGGGGACAGTCTGAAAGAAGAAGCCGTACTGGAGAAACACAGAGGAGCAATAACAGTGATACGCTACTCCCCTGATTTAACAATGTTCACTTCTGGAGATGCCAACCGGGAAGCCGTTGTATGGGACAGGGAGACAAAACAGGTAAACTCCATAACTTGAAACCGACACTCTCACTTGCAAAAACACTTATATATATATATATATATATATGTATATATGATCTGATTGCAGGTGAAGCTAAACAACATGGTGTTCCACACGGCGAGGATAAACAGCATGGGATGGTCTCCGGACAGCAAAAGGGTGGCGACTGGGTCAATAGACACGTGCGTGATTGTGTACGAAGTGGACAAACCGGCTTCAAGCCGTACCACTGTCCGTAACGCTCATCTTGGCGGCGTCAACGCTGTTTCCTTCATCGACGACTTCACTGTCGCCAGTTCTGGTGAAGACGCCTGTGTTCGTTCCTGGCTTCTTGATCCTCCTTGACCAAAACACACTCCCCCCTTGACCCATTTGATTATTAATATTATTTTTGTTACAGGGAGTTTTCCCCCTCAATTATTTATTTTTCATAATGTGATGTTTAGTTTTATGTAATGAGGATCCCAATTTCTGAATTCTACATTTACATGAAGAAAACCTCATATCTTCTTTATTTTAGAAAAAAAAAACATGCGAGTTTAAGTATGCAGTTCAATAAATCCATTAAAAAACAAACAAACAATTGCATCCAATATAAACTCGCATGAAATGTAAATGTATTGTGAATGGCTACCACATCGTCGATTAAAATAAAAGAAAAATCTCACATAAAAACTTTATAAAATATGATAAATAAATAACTAAAATTTTAATTTGATCTAATTGATACATTAATTATTAAAATATTCTAAAATTCATATAATAATTTACAAAATCGATATCAATTTACAAATTCGATTTGTTTTTGAAGTTGAAAATTATTTTCAAAATCATGGTAAAATGTTTTAATATTTAAGATATAAATTTAAAATATTTTTTTAAATATTAATTAAATCAAATTAAAATTTAGATATTTATAAGAGATTTTCTAAAATAAATCTTTTTTTTTTCGAACGAGACAATTACAGGTCCAAATCAAGCTTAATGGGCCTACAAACTCATATGGCCCGTTTCGGCTCATAGAAACAACGTCGTATCTCTCCTTGAAATTCTATTAGTCACAAATTTAAAATATGATTAATTAATATGACCCAAGATATTATCGAGGCCGTTTTCTAGCCTTTGCTTCTTTACCTCACCAGAGCTTCCAAGGAGAAGAAGACACAGACCTACAGCATGCTGGGTTTTGGCGGGAAATCTCTTATCCATGTCGTTTCGGGAGTCGGGGGGAACGGGGTTGGCCGAGTTCTAGCTGCCATGGCTGCTGCTCTGTTGATCCGCTTGTTTTCAGGACCCGGACCAGTTCTCTTGCCTGCAAACGACGCTGAAGATGGCGGCGGCGAGATGGACGATGACGGAGACGAAGACGCAGCTTCGACCCCTGGGAAAGTTCGTCCCATCACCATACGTTGGAAGAACATCACGTGCTCCCTTTCGGATAAGTCTTTCAAATCGGTAGGAGCGCCTGTTTCGAGCATCTGGAAATATGTTCTATGCCAAAATTTAATCGGTGTAGTATTTATCCATTTTCCGGGTTTTTTCCCGTTTATGGAATCGAAATTGTTAGGGTATGCATGTTAAGGAGTAGAATCGGAATTTCAAGAATCTAAGAAAGGGTTGTTTTGCATTTGGCCTTAACGTGACTCACAGGTGCGATTCCTGCTCAAAAATGTGAGCGGGGAAGCAAAACCTGGGAGGTTGCTTGCAATAATGGGTCCATCTGGATCTGGCAAGACAACACTGCTCAATGTTCTCGCTGGTCAGCTTAACGCATCACCACGTTTGCATTTATCGGGCCGTTTGGACATCAACGGGGAACCGAGCTCGAACAAAGCTTATAAGTATGTCGTGTCAGAATCACGGGTTATACAAGTGTATATTCATTTGAGGGATCATCTTGCTGTCGCAGGTTTGCATTTGTGAGACAGGAGGACTTGTTCTTCTCGCAGCTGACAGTGAGGGAAACGCTTTCTATTGCAACAGAGCTTCAGCTTCGGGAGATCTCTTCGGAGGAGGAGAGAGACATGTATGTAGACAACCTTTTGTTCAAACTGGGTCTGGTAAGGATTCACCTGTCTTTCCATTCCAGTAATGTCGTTGGAGCTTCAAATTCTGGTATATTAGTGGCGTGATTCTGTTCTTTCTTTCACCATTGGCTGTCTTCTCCAAAAGGTCAGCTGTGCAGATTCGTGTGTTGGTGATGCAAAAGTCCGTGGGATCAGCGGTGGAGAAAAGAAGCGTTTGTCGCTGGCATGTGAATTGATCGCTAGTCCGTCTGTAATATTTGCTGATGAACCCACAACCGGTATGCCTACTCTACTAAATTCTGATCATTGATGAATTGTGGAAATACACTTAAAGAGAACGTTTTTGTGGCCAGGGCTTGATGCATTCCAGGCTGAGAAAGTGATGGAGACATTAAGACAGCTTGCACAAGATGGGCACACTGTAATCTGCTCGATACACCAGCCTAGGGGTTCTGTATATGCTAAATTCGATGACATTGTGTTGCTTACAGAGGGAGCACTTCTCTATGCTGGTCCTGCAGGCAAAGAACCTCTGACATACTTTGGGAACTTCGGGTTGCTTTTCTGAACATTGCCCGTTATATTTCATTCGTAGTCATTTCTTTGATTCAGTTCTTCCTTTGACCAATATTCCTCTGATCCCTGAGCAGGTTCCTTTGCCCAGATCATGTGAACCCTGCCGAATTTCTGGCTGATCTTATGTCCATTGACTATAGTTCTTCTGAGAGCGTCTATTCTTCTCAGAAGAGAGTACATGCCCTCATTGATGCGTTTGCGGAGCTTTCATCGTCCGTCGTTTATGCCACCCCGCTTGGCAAAGGAGAACAAACCAGAAATTCCGTGAGATCTCACAAGAAAACCATTGTTAAGAAGAAAGGTGATTGGTGGAGGCAGTTCTTCTTGCTACTTAAACGTGCTTGGATGCAGGTGCCATTTTCTTCTGCGTAATCATATGATTTAGATGTATGATGATATGCTGGATCTCAAATATTTTCTCCTGCCCCCTGAAAAATCTACCTTTGTGAAGGAATAAAAACGCTTGAAGAGAACCAAGTTATGTTATCTTTAAGAAGTTGCATGACATTGTGGAAAATGAAAGAAGAGGAAGAAAAAAGATCATGTGCAAGCATCTTTGAATTTGATTTTACTTGACATTACTTTGATCAATCTGAGTTACTGAGAACTTAAGTGACACCTGAGGTTGCAAAGAAACATCTTTAACTTTTATTTACTGTCATCAGTTTGTGTTCCTGATATCATCGAGTAACTCACAGGCTTCTCGAGATGGGCCCACAAACAAAGTCCGTGCAAGAATGTCTGTAGCATCTGCTCTGATATTTGGATCAGTTTTCTGGAGAATTGGGAAATCTCAGACATCAATTCAAGACCGAATGGGTTTGCTTCAGGTCTGAAACATAGTGTATGTTGTTACTTGTTACAGATATCTTTTTTAAGTACTGGTAGTAGTAGCTACGCAGGTACTGAGTGTTTTTCTGCTTAGGTGGCTGCAATAAACACAGCTATGGCGGCTCTTACAAAGACAGTCGGCTTGTTCCCTAAAGAGCGTGCGATTGTGGACAGAGAACGTGCAAAAGGATCTTATTCTTTAGGCCCTTACTTGCTCTCCAAATTAATAGCTGAAATCCCTGTTGGGGCTGCATTTCCCTTGATGTTTGGTGCTGTGCTATACCCCATGTCACGTCTAAATCCTACTTTGTCAAGGTAATTCTGTAGATTTTCATCTTCTGGTTTTCGTAGCAGAGACTGTTCCAGTTGCACGAATAGATTGATGAAACTATAGTAACTAACACAACTGCCAGCTTTAGCCTCATAACATTTGCTTTGGGTTCTTAACACACTGTATATAGTAGCCTCAGATGTTTTATTATCTGTACTTGTCATGGCCAATAGTCCTTAGAAAAGATATGTTTCTTGCCAGATTTGGAAAGTTTTGTGGGGTAGTGACTGTGGAGTCCTTTGCCGCGTCTGCAATGGGTCTAACCGTCGGGGCTATGGTCCCGACCACAGAGGCTGCAATGGCAGTGGGACCATCGCTCATGACAGTTTTCATTGTGTTTGGAGGATACTACGTCAATGCAGACAGCACTCCGATCATCTTCCGCTGGATTCCCCGTGTTTCTCTTATCAGATGGTGAAAATCCCATTTGCTCGGTTTCTCGTTTTTAGCGAAAATAAACACTAAAATCTTTGAAAGGTGACTATCGGATTGTCTTCTTGCAGGGCCTTCCAGGGACTCTGTATCAATGAATTCAGAGGCCTTCGGTTTGACCATCAGAACCCATTTGACATCCAAACCGGAGAACAGGTAACAATGTTTGTGTCTGAAAACCATACATCCTTTTCTCTTTTCCTTTGTTTTTTTTTTAAATTAACTTTATATATTCCCTCTATCAGGTGCTGGAAAGGCTTTCCTTTGGAGGAAGCCGGATAAGGGAGACGATAACAGCTCAAACCAGGATCCTACTGTTCTGGTATTGCACCACCTACCTTCTCCTCCAGAAGAACAAACCCAAGTATCAGAAGCTTGAGGAACTGCAACTGGAGCCTCTGGAAGGAACAGAAGGTCATGACCCTTCTGCCCATCAAGTGGAGCCACACCCAGATGATGGTGAACCACAGCAACCTGACGACCAAATCCGTCCGTTTATACTGGAAGGTTTGTAAACAATACAGAATATAAAACCATCCGGGGCTCCACAAATAGTATGTACAATGTTCTATACACATATATATATGTATGTACATATAAAACTGACATAATTTGTGTGAGAAAGTCTGATTAACAAGTTGAGATCGGTGTCTTGTGGATTCTATATGCGGCAGGTACCAACACTCAGTGAAGAAGGATTCATCTCCACCGCAGCGGTCGCGTTTCGTGTTCCGTGATGCTTTCATTACGCTGCCTATGGAAATAAATAAATGAAAAAAGATTGTTTTGCAGTCGTTGTCGTCGATCCCAAATAAATTGGAGATCATGACGGCGATGATTCTGACGACGTAGATGTTGCACGGAGATCACCAGGACGACGGTCATTTTTACTGTTCACAAGCCCAATAGCCCATCATCGAAAGGCCCGATAATATATATACACTTATTTCTCCAATAATTCAAATTTTCCATCAATTATATCGAATACTTCATAACTGTAATTTATTAGAAACTATACTAATTCTGAACCGAAGTAAATAAAAAATAATCCAAAAAAATGGGTATGTTTTCGATAAAAAGAGAAGCGAAATAAATATAACTGAACGAAATCAAACCGAATTCTAGGGGTGGCCAATTCGGGTTTCGGTTCGGTTATATTCGGGTTCGGTTATTTCAGTTATAGAAAAATTATAATTATTCGATTTTTATATAAATTCTGGTTCGGTTCGGGTTCGATTCAGTTTTGGTAAAAAGTTCAATTTTCCAAAGAAATTGTCGGTTATTATCTTGGTTTTTTCAGTTATTTTTTATTCGGTTCGGTTTCGGTTTCGGTTTTTCGGGTTTAAAGAAATCATAACCGTTCGATTTTGATATCGGGTTCGGTTCGGATACGGTTATATCTTATTAGGTTCGCTTCGACTCGATTATTGGATTAAGAACCGAAATGACGATCCCTGCCGAATTCAATATAAAAATACGAACAATTATGATGTTTTTAAAACAAATAATAAAACTCGAATATACCCCACCCACTTTATGTGACATAGAGAAAAGTCCTTTTTAATAATAAATAAATGAATTGTGAAGAAATCGAATCCGAGGGTCGGGTCCCGATTCCCCGGGAAAGGAGGACCGCGTCTTTTTATTCGGCCCTCCAAAAAAGAAAAAGAAAAAAAAAACCCTATCTTTCTTTCCACCTTCCGTCTCCGCCACCGCCACCACACGGAATTACATTCTTCTTCGTAGCTCTCACGCTCTCCCTTCTCTATTTATATATACCCCAATGTTCCTCGCCCTCCCTTGATTTCCCCTCCCATCTTTCCCCGTTCCTCCAATTTCGATTCTTTTAGCGCAGGTTTCTGCAAATTTCCTTTCTTTCTTTTTCTTCTCTTCCGGAGTTTTCTGCAATTCCGATTTTCCCTTTGAATTTCTTCTGCGGTTTATCCGGAATTTCCTGAATTTTCCCTGTCTGATTCTCTACCAGGGAGGGAGTTTTTTTCTCTGTGGCTTTGTTGGGACAGTTCGTCGAGGGGCTGAAATGGCGCTTGCGTACGATCCTCTCTTCATCAGCTCGGAGAAGCCGGCCATGGAGGTGACCCCGTCGCCTGCTGTGATACTTACCCAGGACGAGCTCAAGCGTATCGCCGCTTACAAAGCCGTCGAGTTCGTGGAATCGGGAATGGTCATTGGCCTTGGAACCGGCTCCACCGCCAAACACGCCGTCGATCGAATCGGAGAGCTTCTCAGACAAGGCAAACTCGAGAACATTGTCGGAATACCCACTTCGAAGAAGACCCAGGAGCAGGCCCTCTCCCTTGGGATCCCTCTTTCTGATATCGACGCCCACCCCGTCATCGATCTCTCCATCGACGGCGCCGACGAGGTCGACCCGGATCTCAATCTCGTGAAGGGCAGAGGAGGGTCTCTCCTGCGAGAGAAGATGATCGAGGGAGCTTCGAAGAAGTTCGTGGTGATAGTGGACGAGTCCAAGCTCGTGAAACACATCGGAGGAAGCAAACTGGCGCTGCCGGTGGAGATAGTCCCGTTCTGCTGGAAATTCACGGAGGAGAAGCTCCGGAAACTGTTCGAATCCTGCGGCTGTGTCGCAAAGCTCCGTCGCGGCGGCGGAGGCGAGACGGGGAATCCTTTCGTGACGGATAACGGGAATTACATAGTGGATTTGTACATGGAGAAGGACATGGGAGACCTGGGAGGTGCGAGCGATGCGATCCTGAGGCTTCCTGGGGTTGTGGAGCATGGCATGTTTCTGGATATGGCTTCCACGGTGATAGTTGCGGGTGAGCTCGGGGTGACAGTCAAGAACAAGGAGAAGAAAAGGGGTAATCGTTAACAGATTCTGCGCTTAGGGGAACCGATTTGCTTGATATTACTTAGGAGAGAAGTAGGGTTTCTGCTGGTAGGAAAGTCATGGTACTTGAAGAGAGGAGATTTTGGATTTCATTACAGAACGAAGTTGGATTTTATGAAGCAAGACACATTTGTCATTGTCTTTTATATAAAAGTCAATTTTACAACATGGGTTTTGCATGTGTTTTTTTGGGTGATTTGGTGTGTTTTAGACAAAAGAGGCCAAAAGTTTTCTACTATTAGCATGTTTTAACCAACCGGTGATTGAATCTTGGATGCTTCTGATGTTTGTGTGTGTATATATATATATATGTATTCAGAGGATTATTTATTAGAAAGCCTTAAGCATCCTAATCTTTAAGGTTATTCTGCCAATTTTCCATTCAACTGTTGATGAACCAAGCGTTTAGGTAATTGTCAAAGATTGCAAAGTGTGGATTAAGTTGGGATCTAATGCTGTTTATCCCTGAGTCGAATGACAATTTTTGCATTGAATAGATAGACTCAATTTCTCAGTGGACGGACTTTGAACTTTCTTTTTTTTTTAAACGAAAATTCAATTCAATTGAAGTTAGAGTTTTTTTTGGTAACCGGATTCTTGTACCGAGATAAAGACTAATTTTGAAATCGGGACTCTTCAATTTAAAGATCGAAATCGGGACGGAATAGACGGTTTATGTTTTCATTCTACCGGTTGATCTATCAAGTTGGATTCAATTAGGGGTGTCAATCGGGTCGGTCCGAGCCGACATTTGATCCGGAAATTTCGGGTTCTGGCTCAGGCCGGTTCGATTTTTTCAGGCCTATATAATTAAATCCGAAGCCCGACCCTATGCATTCCGGACTCGGGTCGGGTCGGGCTGGACTGGGCCGGCCCACGGACTTCCCTTTGTAAATGTTATTTAAAAAAAAAAATTCGGACTTTCAGGCCAGTCCGACTCAAACCCGAAATCTGATTTGAGCTGATCCGAATATCCAATTTTTTTCGGATCAAGAAATTTCGATCCGAAGCCTGCTATTTTTCGGCTTTGACCGGGTCAGACTTCGGACCTCGGGCCCAAATTGACACCCCTCGATTCAGTTGAAGTTAGAGTTGAAAGTATTAACATAACAATAGTCTTTTGATAGCTGAAAAAGAAAAAAAAAATACAAAAAGACAGCCGACACAATAAAACCTAAGACACACATGCATACATACACGCTTGGGAAGGAACACTGATGAGACAATTTACAGAACAAAACATTGCTATGTTATCATTATATATATATATATATATAACTTTTTGTGAATCTTCATTATTTTTATTTTAAAGTTGTGGTTGGTCGTATTGTCAAATTCCCTTTCCCTCGTTGACAAATTAAATCCCCTGATTTCGGCCTAATCTTATTGTCACAACACAACCTGTTTTTTTTTTTGTTTTTAAGTTTCTCAAATGCTGTTAGCTTCTAAAAATGGCAAAATAAAAGCTAATAAAAAAGAAGAAGAAAAAAGAGGAGAATCCAGACAGTTTTCTTTAGTTGTCGAGATTAGTCTTAAGCGTTGGCCTCACCTTTGACCACACACAACCATACGGTGCCCACGTGTATGTATGACCGTATATCTACGGATCCACAAGAGAATACGGTGAATGGTGATGCGTCTCCCAGATTCAAAGTTTCCATCTTTTTTTTGTAAAACAATAAGCTTATGGGAATATATACTCCATCTCCTTGCTTCATCTGAAAAACACACAAAACTTTCACTTTTCCTTTTCCCCCCCGCGAAAAGATGCACAGAGAAAGAAAGGAAGCTTTTTAGCTCTCCCTCCAAGTCTCCCTCTTCCTCCCTTCTCGGCCCTCTCTCTCTCTCTCTCTCTCTCTCTTTAAGGCCCCCACCCACAAAGGTACACAGCTCTCTCTCTCTCTCCTACCCTTTGTTCCAGATTTGTTTTTTTTTTCATCTGGGTATCTGCAATTTCTTGTTTTTTTATAAAGGGTATCTGCAGTTTCTTTCTTTTCTTTTTTAATTTTTTTCCTCTCGTGTGCGTGCTGTCTGTATAGGTTTTCTTGTTACATCTGACGATTTGTGTTCCCTCTTTGATTCTTTTTTTCTTGGTGGAATATATATCTGGTCTTGTCACACGTTGAAACCCATAACTTTGTCCCTTACAAAGCTCTGTTTTCCTTTTCCCCTTTTCTGTAATTTCGCTGGAGCTGTTCATAGGTTTCATTGATTTGTTTTTTTCTGGAGTGTGTTTTGTTTCTTGCTGTTATTTATTCACGTTTCATTGATAACTTATACAGCTTTCGTGTTTTGTTTATTTCTGTTTTCACTCCAACAGCTTTGGTCCATCTTTGGAAGGAGAAGAGAAAACATCCAAAGCTCCTGTTTTCCCCCCCCCCTGGTAATTTGCTTATTTTGTCGTATCTTTCATTTTTTTTTGGAAAAAGATAAAAAAAAATTATGATTTTCCTGTCCTCCATTAATGGCCACGATCCATGTCTCAAGAGGGTCCAGTTTCACATGTTGGTGTTGCAGATCACATCTCATCATCATCATCACCATTCATTCAAATGCATCTCCTCTGATTCTGACCTAATCTATGCAGGAGAGGGTTTCTTAGACCGCAAGTTACAGAATCTTAAATCCAAAAACGGGTGGATTTGACCGTTTGTGAAAATGGGAGATCATTTCGTGCTGTTGGTAGACCGGTTGATAACGGAATCCACGCTGGAGGCTGCCATAGAGAGCAGAATCCGGGCAGCGGAAGAGGGGAAGAACACAAAGGACAAAGACGGAGGAGAAGTTAGAAAGGTGAATGAGAGAAGAGGGAATGGGGAATATTCGGTGGTGGAGTGCAGGATTTGTCATGATGAGGATTTGAACTCGGAGATGGAGACTCCTTGTTCATGCAGCGGCAGCTTGAAGGTAAACGTGTATATTTTTTATCTGATGATGATGATGTCCATAGCACATGAGCTTGAAAAACGGTGAAAAATGATGATTGCAGCATGCGCATAGGAGGTGCGTGCAGAGGTGGTGTAACGAGAAGGGTGACACCATCTGCGAGATCTGCCATCAGGTGGGCAGTTGGATTTCCTTCCATCTCTCTTCTTTCCGACAAGAGTTTTGACTCTTTTTCTGTGTTTTTTTTATTTAAAAAAAGCAATTCGAGCCGGACTACACTGCACCGCCGCCTCCGCCATTGTTGCAGATGAGCCGTATTCCTCTCAATTTCAGGTAGGGCGCATTCGTTCTTCTCACGTATGAGACTTAACTTTAAGTTAGAAGAAGGAAGAGAGATGGAGATTGAGTTTTTTTCCACAGGGGAAACTGGGGAATATCAAGAACGGATCAGCATCATCATCATCGCTTGATAGCAGCAATGGTTCCATCTCACCATTCTTCCCTTGAAGATGAAGAAGTGGTTTCTTCCTCAAGTCGCTTCCTCTGCTTCCGTTCCTTTTTCCTAATCGTATACAAAGCATCCCTCTCTCTCTCTCTCTCTCTCTACAATGTTTTCTAAACATATATATACACACACACACGTATATTGATTGATATATTGTCGAAAACAATGCAGTTCGTGCTTCTTCTGATACTCAGACACACCCTCCCTCTCCTCCTCTTCCAATCAAACCCTCCTTTCTTCCCTTTCCTCTCGGTGAGTTCTTGCTTTCTTTCTCATTCCATTCTGTATCTCTACAACTTGCTTATCATTTCTTGTGGTGCAGCTTTTACTTGTGAGAGTTGTCGGAATCGTACTGCCCATCTTTGTCGTCACCAAAGTTGCTGCCGCTTGCCATCGCCGCCGCAACCAGCTGGTGACTGACCTCTCTCTCTCTCTTTCTCTCTCTCTCTTTATTTTTTTATAATTTTTTTTTTAATCATTTCGGGGATTTGGATAAACCAGGAGGAGTCTGAGGATTCATCGGACGAGGAAACTGAACAAGCAGCCGTACATCCACCACGGAGGCAATCCTATATCATCACCGTCCGGTGAGGAGGATGACGATACCATCTTTAGCAGAATCAAAACGCACACTGTTAGGAATAGATTTCATAAGATTGAATGTAAACCATCTATTAACCCTACAAAACTCACCTGTATAGTATATATCATAATAATAATAATACTCTCTCTATTATACACAGAACAATACTCAGATCCCGTTTAAAATATTGAATGGTGGGTATGCATGTATATATGCATGTGTGTATGTATGGATGGAAAAATCCGATTCACGAGTTAGTTGTCTGAAAAGAGGGAGACAAGACAAGAGAGAGCCAGAGGCCGTGGAGCAGGAGTGGAACTGTTTTCAGATCTGCAAATAAACACAGAAACAAAACACTATGATGCTTCCTTCTCTCTGTTTTTTTTTTAAAAGAAAAAAAATCTAAGCTACCCCTCCATATCTCAAAACCCACACATTCAATAACCAAAGATCTGAAATTAACATGACAAGAACAAGATTAAAAAAAGGTTTCCCTTCCCCATGTAAAACTCAAGAAACCAAACAAATCTGGTTTTCTCTCTTTTGTGATTGTAGCATACATATATGTAGAACGTGTAGTTCCAAAATTCAAGCAGAGAATCTGTACAATCCTTTTTAAGACCAAAAGAGCGGAAAAGGGCAGACATGAAGGGAGAAAAAAAAGTTACAGGAAAGGACCTCAGAGCGAGCTGGCGACTTGGCATCTCACCCTCAAACCTCTTTGTATTGCTGTCTGTAAGGATACAAAAAAACAAAGCCCTAGTTCCAGCTTCTCCTTGGCCTGAAAGATGGCGAGAGGTTAAAAACATGTGAGCTTTTTCCTTTTTTTACCTTTCCTTTTCCCTTCCGCTTTCATTGTTACCGAAAGTGAAAGAGCTCATAGCCATATAGTTATTATGATTATTGTTACTACTATTATATCTCTTTAGATAGTGCAGATTGTGGTAATACTTCCGGTTCTTCTGCTGCGTTCTCCAGTAACAAGCGAGCGCCCCGAACGCGCAGCTGGCAAGAGCGATGGCCAATGCTGCTCCGATGGGCACGACGACTGCATTGGTGGGTATAGCCATATCCTCTGAGGCAGTGGTTGTTGCCTCGACCTCGACCTCGCTCCGGATGAGACCCTTTTCCTTGTAAAGCGACATGAGAGACTGCCCGTAGTAGCTCTTCATGAACTTGTAGACTTCGTCATGATCCCAGTCTATGTTTTTCTGGCCGGTTGAGAGATAACACGTTGGGCAAAGCTGCTTTGTTGGCCATACGAGCTTCGGGAATTTGGGGTCAGCTGTTTCGAGTGACGCTTCTTCCTTCATGAGTCTCTCGTTGACCTTGTTGTGGGTGCTCCACAGCCACAAGACGAAATCACGGGACTTTTTAAATGGTGTTTTGACGCTGTCAAGGAAAAAAAAAGGTATTACGTAATTAGAGATGAGGGCCGACACACCAGAAGTGAACCACGAGTTCTCCACTGTTTTTTTACCTCGTGCACATGTCGTAAAAATGTCGACGGCAGTCTTCACACATGAAAAAGTTATGAATGAAATCACATATAGCTGTGAATGCAAATTGACTCTCTCCATCTTCAATCCTCACCGAAAGGGAATGCATCAGCACCCATAATCCGCAGCTACAGTAACACATTTGAGAAGGGTTCAAGATTTGGATAATCCTCTTGCAAGACGAGTTAATACAAAAGAATGACTCTGTTTACAGGAAATTTAAATGATACCTGAATCCGCGAGTATCATTCTTGCTGCCACGGCAAAACATCTGCCAACAGGAACACGTACAGAAGATGAGACAACCATATTCCCACGCCTTTCTTTTCAAGCATTATGAGTAGCATAGGACAGAACAGTACAAAGGAATCAATTGAGAGTACTCACATAATATCCACGTGGAACATCCTTCCCACATATACGGAAGTTTCCCAGGCTATCTTTTGCACCAGTTTCCTGATTATTTTCATAAGAGCATGCCCCAGATGGGCATAAATCATCAAAGTTCACGAGTATTTCTGCACTTCCCTTGCGACACCTAACGGAATTAACCAATGATTAGGCATGAAAAGAAGCGGCCAGCAAAACATAAATTGCTAAATAGGAAGATGCATCTTCACCTCCTTGAAGGATGATGTGCCGCAAGAAGCTGGAGAAATTTAATAAATGAAGCATCGGTTTCAGATGTCTTGATTGTCTGTGATTGTCATGTGTTGAAGCCATGAATACCACTTAGCAACAAAAGCAAAACAGGAAAAAGCCAACCAGAAACATAAAAATCAAAAAAATTTATATACCTTATGCGCTAAAATGATATCAAAAGCTTCAGCTGTCGCTTCCTCGATGTCATATACAGCTTGAGAAATCTTTCATGCATAAAATACCAGTAATCTTTAGTTTGTTTGGGTTAAAAGAAAAAGATACTATTGTATCAAAACAGCTCGAGAGACCTGCTCACTGTCAGATATATTTGACCGAAGATGCTCGTTTTCGAATTTCTGGTCATCTAATCCATAAGAACTGCAAAAAAATGGTTAACACAGCACCAGATCACGTTGAAAGCACAGAAACAGGACCTTTGAATGACCAACTGGCCCAAGGGAAACATAGATTCAATCTAGTGGTTTGGTGCATTACACTTAATACTACATACCATACCTGCCTATCTGTTTATTAATCCAATTCAGCAGGCGCTCAGCTGTGCGCCCGTCATCAATCACACTAATCTCGCTTTTTTCTTGTTTAGAATCCCGACTGCCAGAGACGAATTTTGCAGGAGGTCCCCAAAACAGCATTGGATAATGACTCACAGAGAACTTGTCACAGAGTTTGTTGTTTATCTGTGCTGCCAAGGAAGTCATAAAGAACACATTAGCATCAGAATATAAAAAAGGAATAAGATTTAGCAAGAGGAATTCAAAGACTTTTAAATAGTATCTCTTAACAGTATGAAACCTTTCATCGCCAAATACCATTCACACGAAATCCAGAGAAGGAAATTTCAGAGCCAAAATGTACGACACCATTATTTGTATAGATCATAAACAAGGTATAATTACCTTCAGCGCACAATCAACTCTTGCCATCAAAATGATTCCAGGGTGTATTGCCTCTGCTCCATTGAATAATTTTGCGACTTTTTCATATTGAGGCTGCATAGTAAAGGTTCAGGAAATGAAAATCGCACCGGAGAACATGGAACCAAATGGGAATATATTGCAAAAAAACACCTTACCCTATAGTTTCTACACGCAGGACACCTGAAACAAATTAGTGAAATGGTAGCCATATCAGTAACTGCGTGAACTAGGTCGACAGTTTAATTTAAAATCTAAAATAAAAAGAATTGTAATTTGGGTCCATGAAATACTAGTATAGTATAAGCAAATTTAAAAGCTTGCAATGATAAACTCATATATTTATAATTTATGCATTAACTGAAATAAATAAAACTTGTACATGATAAAAATACAACAGAAACCCATTTATTTATGTGTAATGGATAAAATATTTACAACATTTTTTTGCTAAAAAAGAAATCAATTTGTTAAATATGTCAATTTGTCATTTCGTAGGGAAATATAAACGTTTCACATTCATAAATTAATCTACAAAACCCTTTCATTGTTGTTAAGAAAATCTATCTCCACGAAGATGCAAGACGCGGTACAAGTGGGAAAATAGAGACTAAACCAATAGACGTTCGATTTTCCAGATAAATTGCCAGAAAATGTAAACTACTGTACGGAGATCAAGAGAATATCCAAAAGATATAGTTCGCACGAGCAGGCAATGATATAGAATAAAGATAGCCACAGAGATCCAATACCGAACTTAGACTCACGAAAGGAAGAGGAACTTATAAACCCCTCAACCAAATCTAGCAAATTTATCAGGTTTCATATAAACAAAGGAAATCGATGTTCCGGATTCGAAAAAACACGACAGAGAGAATCGGAGCTGACCAGTGGGCGAAGAACTCGACAACGGCGTATCTCGCAGGGGTGTCATGGAGAACCGAATCGAAGTTGGTAAAATTTAATTCGACGGCGTAATCCTTCTGATCTGCGTTTCCTCCGCCGATATCCCGAAGAATCGACCTCGATCCCGGGGAAAACGACGCCGCAGCTTCGAGGCTGAGCAGAACAGCGAAGGCAAACAGGTGGATTAGAGACATCAAATCGAATCCAGCACAACACAAACCGCCTGATAGATCGGAACGCTCAGAAGGTTTGGAATTTTGAAGAGCGTTGGGACAGCGGGAGGGAAGCTGTCGAGAGAGAAGATCTCCAGTCCTCCTCCCGTTGAGAAATGGAGCTCTGTGAAAAAGAGGGTCGTCAACGAAACGAAACGCCACGAGCCCAAGGCTGAAACTGGAACGTCGTCGTTTAGCTACGTGAGCCTCATTTCTTCGTGGGCTTCAAGATATGTTGCTCTCTTCGGCCCAATTCTATATGATGGGCCTTTTCTCCCACCACGCTCTTTTTTTTCGTTATTATTATTGGATTAAAATAAAAAGGGTTTATTATGTGCATCGGTTTATACTTAAGGTTATTTTGATTTTTAAAAAAATTATAATATTTATATCAATTTTGATTCGGTTTGTATTGATAAAAATATTTAAATTTTTTAAAAAATCGATTTTTTTGGATTTTTTATTCTTCTTTTTAAAATCACACCATTCAATTTTTATATCGAATTTGGTTTGAGTATATATTATTCATTTAAAATCTATTTTACTATTCAATTATTAACCAAACGGACCATGTATACTAATACTAGCATAGCAACAAAAAGAGTGAAACCGTATTTTGTATATTGTGCATCATTTTATAGATAGGGCGAGTGGGGGATATGCTATTTATATTCGTGGTGTGGATATTTCAACTAAAATAAAAATAAAATAAAAGATTTGATTTGTAACGATGTTACTGAATCCAGTTGAAAGGCACGTCACTTTTCATACTTTATTAGCCACCAAACCTATCTGTCCATTCATTACATCATATTTTCCAATTGTTCCGTTCTCATTAGTTATTCCGGTTTCATATAAACTGTTTTTTTAGATAATGTATATGTTGTTTTAGGGGCATTATAAAAAAACAATCTTATTTTATTACATAAATTTCATAGCATATCTTTCTACATCATTTTTTATAATTAATATAATCATCATTTTTTTATAATTAATGGAATATCTAAAAAGAGTTATATTCATTACATCGTTAAAATTCTATGATAATCATATTAATCATATTGGTCATATCGTTGAAATTATATAATCAATATAATCATTATTTATTGATATGATTATACAAAAATAAGTTTAAAAAGTATGATATCTATGTAACAAAGTAAACTTAGTTTTGATATTTTTTTTGGGTAAACAAATGTAGTTTTGATATGCCTTTTGGACATTTGTTTCAATTAAAAAATACATTTAAAAGGTCTAAAAATAAAAATATTACAACATCTCATCTAAACCATACTATATTTGAAAAAAAAAAAATGGAGATATCTATCAATCTTATGGCTTACAGAGAATCTCACACATTTTAAATATTACCATTTTTAAATAATTATTTACCAATTTGGTACCACTATCGTTTGTCTGTCATGTCATGTGCTCATCACTCATAAATTGAAAACCATATCGACAGACCCTAATCCACGTGCAAAAAATTAATGTCTCGATTAAGTTCGCTTCAATTATCTAATATTTCAAATTTAATTCCTAAAATTTACTGCATTTTACTATAAAAATAATTTAAAATCTAAAATAAAAAGAATTGTAATTTGGGTCCATGAAATACTAGTATAGTATAAGCAAATTTAAAAGCTTGCAATGATAAACTCATATATTTATAATTTATGCATTAACTGAAATAAATAAAACTTGTACATGATAAAAATACAACAGAAACCCATTTATTTATGTGTAATGGATAAAATATTTACAACATTTTTTTGCTAAAAAAGAAATCAATTTGTTAAATATGTCAATTTGTCATTTCTCTTCCTCGTGTCAGCATCCGGCATCCACCAATAATTAAAGAACTTGTTACTATGGTCTTTTGTTTATTTATTTTCGTTAAATGGCATATGACTCCCTTACTTTCTCAAATAGTGCATATTTAACCTTATATCTCAAAAATTACATTTAAGTACATATGATAACATGTTTTTATGATAAGTTTTGAAGTTATTCCTTGTTAAAAATGGTTCTAGCACCGTTTCTCTTAATATTCATTTTCCATCCAGAATCATTAACAATAACCAACAAATAATATCTATTTGTAATGAAAATTCAAAAGATTTGATCAACTATTTGTTGAGTTTTTTTTGGTAAAAAATATTAGTTGAGTTCATAAAATATATTCATAATCTAAAGCCATTGATTGGTTTTTCAAAAAGCTACTAATTGATTATCATTTAAATTAAATTTCAGATAAATTTGCTTTAAAACATTAAGTTCCAGATTTTAATATTGAATGTTTGGATGAAAAAAAATCGGTAATTTTTTCACTTATCAAAGAGAATTTATGGGGCAATAGGCAATTAATCTTCAGATGAAAGGGGCAAATCATGGAAAATAAAAAACTGAGGGGCCTTTGTGTTATTTAATCTCTCTCTCTCTCTCTCTCCCCCCCCCCCCCATTATAAATATATAATGTAATAATTACATCCATATATTATCAGCATTTGTTTCATTATCATCAACAAAGTCAAGGATTTAAATTAATTAGTTTTCCCGTTGCCGTCTTAAAATAAATAACTTGGATCACATATGATTGAAAGAAAAACCATCCGACGGTCGAAAGGGTCGTCGCCCTCGTGGTTGAGTCGAATAATGTAATAATATATTGTTCTAAAGGGAAAAAAAAAAGAACAAGTTGAAGTGTTGACGATTTGGGTCCCTCGGAGAAAGTACATACCTGTCTGGCTATAAGTAAAGGGTGTGCATTGAAAGAAAATTCGGATAAAAGAGACAACAAAAGGAAAAAGAAGAAGAAAACTGATTCAGACAAGAAGTAGAAGACAGAGATCCTTCTAGCCAGTTCCGAGATCGATGGAGGTTCTTGCCAAACCACCGAGTTCAGCTTCTCCTGTCAAGGATGAAATGGGTCGACGTTCATCTTCACCTACCTCCAAGACTAATAGTAATAATCCCCGGACCGGGAAAAAAGAGGTACCAAAACGGGGGGAAAAATCATTTCTTGATATATCCTCGAGACAGATCGAGGAACCAATTAATCTTTTATTTTATTTTGTTTTGTTTCGAATTTCTTGATGATATCAGGGTGATCATGAACTGGAAACGGCCAAAGCAGAGATGAGCGAGGTGAAGGAAGAGAACGAGAGGCTGAGGATGATGATCTCCCGTAATTCTCCATTCCCATTCCCATTCCCATTTTCTCGAATTCTTCCTTGCCATTGCCTTTAGATCGATTCTTCCACTAACATAACATCTATCTGTTTGGTTGGAGCTCTGAATCTCATTTGGGGTTTTATTTCGATCGATTCCTCTTTCGTCTTTCGATTTTCTCGTTCTCGGCTTCTCCGACTCGACCGTTCTTGTTCGCGACATCGTCGGAGAATTTTATCGGCTGTGTATAAGCGTATACAACTGCTTAGACAGGTGTAGATTAGTCAACCAACTCGGATTACTGGGAGGAGTGTTGCCGTACAATCGCCCGACGAAATCGGAAGCTCTTGTTTTATCGCTATTTTGTCGTTTTTCCTTCCGCTCATCTGTTTTTCACGGTGCTCTTTGACTGGGTGGGGAAGAGATGTTGGGTGCTGGATTTCAGTTGACGAGGGGCCGTCGCGCCGATGATTCCGTCTACAGTTCGGCGAGAGCTCGCAGGTCCCATCAGAACTCCCCAAGGGTCGAGCAGCTTCGAAGAGCTCAGAGCGACGTCTCTAATGGCCGATCAACTAACCCAAAGGAAAATCCAACGGATTTCCTGAACATGGAGCGTGAGAACGGTTCCGGGTCGTTGAAACCCGTTTCGCACCTTGCTTCTGAGTCGGCGACCTCGCCCTCGAGTAATCTGGAACGGTTTTTGGAGTCGGTCACGCCAATGGTGCCGGCCCAGTATCCGTCTAAGGTTTGTTGAACATGTCAAATTGATTTCTTTCGATTTGGTTGCCCAATTCCTTTTCTTTTCAATTTTTATGCACTTTTAAACTTCAGAAAAGAAGGGTAAAAGGAAAAAAAAAAAAAAAAAAGCTGGAGACTTTTGTTGTGAAATATCGTTTCTTACTGGTGATTAGGTCAAAACTGATGCGGCTTTACCTCTGCTACTCTTTAGGTTCCGAAAACTTTTTATTTTGTCTGCAAGGAATTGAGTAGCTCTTGCTTAAGGATTTGAGTACATCGTTTTCCTTTTCTGCATCTTTGTGCTTGTATAACTGGAGCTTTAACTTTTTCTGCAGACTTCACTTGGCCAAAGGAGGACTTGTGATGTTAAACTCCAGCCTTACTTTGTTCTTGGAGATGTGTGGGAGTCATTCGCTGAGTGGAGTGCCTACGGCACGGGAGTGCCTCTAATTTTGAACAACAGGGATCCAGTTGTCCAATATTATGTGCCCTCATTGTCCGGCATTCAAATATATGCCGATCCTCAAGCATTAAGTGCATCTCTTAAATCAAGGTAAACATTCTGTGAGTTTCGTGCATTTACTCGTGAACATAGTTCAAGCGCGTGGTTTCAAGAAAGCCTTGATTCCCAATAGGTTATACCTATTCCTGCACTCAGAGAGGAGGTCATTGTTTGTTGAAAATTCGGGTGTGATTGTTTGGACAACATGTTTTGAACGTCAGTCTTTGATTCTCAAAATTTGGTTTATGTCTCTCATTTTGCATAGCTTTATTTACCTTTCCGTGTACATCTCTTACCTCTTTGGAATATGCAGTTTGTATGCAGTTTGGACGTCCAAACATGGACAAAAGAACTTAGTCATGAACTGCATTTGCATTGCATACATGTTCACACTTTTTAAGTCTACCTCTTTTCACACTTTTTAGCCATATACCTCACATAACTATTAGAAATTGGTGTAATGGCCGTTCTTATGTCACTTTTCTCAGCTGCAGGAGGCCAGGTGAGGAAAGTGATAGTGATTTCCGGGATTCAAGTAGTGATGGTAGCAGTGACAGTGAATCAGAACAGGGAATTTGTTACCATATGGAGCAGATATCTGTTAGAATGGGCCGGATCTCTTTGAGAGACCAGCATCAGGAAGACTCATCCAGCGATGACGGTGAATCTTTAAGTCAAGGTCGTATGATATTTGAGTATCTTGAGAGAGACCTTCCTTACATCCGCGAACCCTTAGCTGACAAGGTTTGTATGCTTGTTATTGTTCTCGTCAGCAATTAAAACATTACAAAAGAATAAAATACAAATAATAAATATTTTAAAGAATTAAAGAATTATGAAAGGTGTAACTAAATTGTTTAGAATTACTGAAATTATGAAAACAAATATAAAACAACTTTAAATTATATTGAAACTAAAATGATAAAATGTAAATATCTTGGGGAGTAAATGATATATGAACTGTGCTTGAAGTTAATTTTTGAAGTTAACATGTATTGGTCTTTTCAGCATTCTTATGTTATATTGTAGAAACATTTTAGACAGTTTGATAAGTACAGTAAAATATATTAAAAAACCAATTGCTCTTATGATAGATTAACAGTTGACTGTAATTGGTAGTTGTTTGGCCAAAAATTGTTTCAAATATCTATTGGCCAAACACTAGTAACAACTGAGAGATTGACCAACCCATTAGCTACAAGTTTTCCTACTTGTCGAAACAAGCTCTAATTTCCGATTTATAGCTAGCAGCAACCACCACTATAGCTATCCTGACTGCCTTCATTCTTGAACTCACTCAATTTTTCCTCGACTTCTCTCATTACCACTGCCTTACTTTGCTTTGCAGATATCTGACCTTGCCTCTCAATTCCCTGAGCTAAAGTCACTGAGGAGTTGTGACTTACTACCTTCAAGTTGGTTTTCTGTTGCATGGTATTGCTTTTAGCGGTTTGCCTGCACTTGTTTTGCTGTTTTATTGCTCTTCACGGTTCTCACATTCTATCAAAATATACTGTATAGGTATCCAATTTACAGAATACCCACAGGACCTACGCTTAAGGACTTGGACGCATGTTTCTTGACGTATCATTCCCTCCACACACCAGTTGGAGGTAACAAAAACAACCCGTATATATTTAAATATAATTGGAATTTTATAATTATGGTGACACAATACCTCTACTATGTCAACTTTTCGCTTGGTTGCAACTGGCTTAAAGCATCCATGTTAGGGTTATAGCCATGGCAGATCACTAAGAATCTGCCACAGCAACCCACATACGCATTGCATTGCACTAGGGGACACTATATTCAACGGAGATGGTGTATATACTTGATATAGTTTGGGTCCTAACTCTATCACAAAAGTTAGTTTAAGAATGGAGGTTTGACCCTCCTTATATATTGCCTCCAAATCCCTTTCTCTCACCGATGTGGGACAACCACGGCACTGGGGCAAATCTAGTCGCTAGCGGTTTCTCAATCGCACCCTGACCGTTCCTATCCCGACTGTCCTACTAGGGACAAGTCGACCACATGTTCGTAGGATAACGGCCCATCAGAGGCCCATTGGTGGGCAGAGAGTTTGGTCCTGATACCAATTAGTAGAACCCACCCATCCATAATGGGTTAACTAATTGTCAAAGCCTATGGGTAGGACTCGTCCCAAAAACTAGCTTGTTGGAGAAGGGTGTTCATGGTTTTATATACACTCAATTGTCCCCATATATTTCAAATGTGGGCCTTTAACAATACCCCCTTTAAACAGCGACGATCACGACGCTGACGGCTTCTCGGTCGCTGGTGGCTACGCACTCTTTGTGCTCCTCTCCCGCCACGTCGTTTGCATATCCGAGGATGGGTTGGTTTTGATACCAATTTTAATACAATTTGGGCCCTAACTGTACCACAAAAGCTAGATTAAGAGTGGAGGTTTGATCCTCCTTATATATTAGCTCCAAATGTCTCTCTCTCAGCGAGACTCTAACAATACCTGAGCAGTTTGACTTCTTTGGATCCAACATACTTTGTCTAGGAAAAAATCTTTTGATCCTTAATCATCTTGGAAACATAAATAATTTCCTTTCTCTCTCATGAAGATTTTAATTTCTTCTGAGTTGGTCAACAGCAGTTTTCCATTCTGATTCTTAGCTAGCCAAGACAAACCATGATCATTCATCATCCGTAATTCTTGATCAACCACAATTGTTTGTTGTTGTTTCAACTGTGCCCATCAATATATATATCTTTCACTTGTTTCTAAGATATATTTTGGGTGGGAATTGATTCAATACCTCTTGACTTTTTGTAGGTTCTGGCATCGCCCAAGCTTTAAAGCTAAGTGATACCGAGATTGAGAAGATTCCATTGCCTGTCTTTGGTCTTGCTTCTTACAAATTCAGAGGTTCGCTATGGACGCCCAGTGGCGGATCTGAACATCGGCTCGCCAACTCCCTCTTCCAAGCTGCGGATGAATGGCTGCGATTGCATCAAGTCAACCAGCCTGATTTCATGTTCTTCTGCCGCAGGTGATATTAATGATAATACTATGATGTCGGCAAATGACAGAATCAAGGCGCCCCCCAACTATTCTGAAAGTGAACCCCAATGGAATTTTTGGTGAGTAATCCTGTGGACCAATTGCCAAAAGTAGAAGATTCATTAAAAAAAAAAAATTGGAAGGGTATGTGAACATGGGTGCCTATTGAATTGGTTGGGGGGCTCTCCAGACCTAAGAGTAAAGGTATAATAAGAGTGCAGGTTTCAGATATAACCGGGTTTTATTGTTGACGCTGTGTCATTGTAAAATGAGTTGTTTTTGTGTTTTAGTCCAGAGTTTTCCGTTGTAAGTTAAAGGAGAAAAAAGAAACAGGCTCTTTTTTTTACTGCCCAGAAAAAAAAAACATATATTTTGGGATGGGGAGTTTTGCCTTGGAGTTTCTGTTATGTTTTGGGTTCAATCTGAAACCTGCTATCTAATCTAACGTATCCAGAACCCCTTTTATGGTTCCTGAAATAGATGATAGCAGATTTTTTCTTCACGTTTGCTTGGGTTCTGATTACAGATGAAAAAATGTATAGCCTTATTCCTGCATGACTCCCTTACTTTCTCAAATAGTGCATATTTAACCTTATATCTCAAAAATTACATTTAAGTACATATGATAACATGTTTTTATGATAAGTTTTGAAGTTATTCCTTGTTAAAAATGGTTCTAGCACCGTTTCTCTTAATATTCATTTTCCATCCAGAATCATTAACAATAACCAACAAATAATATCTATTTGTAATGAAAATTCAAAAGATTTGATCAACTATTTGTTGAGTTTTTTTTGGTAAAAAATATTAGTTGAGTTCATAAAATATATTCATAATCTAAAGCCATTGATTGGTTTTTCAAAAAGCTACTAATTGATTATCATTTAAATTAAATTTCAGATAAATTTGCTTTAAAACATTAAGTTCCAGATTTTAATATTGAATGTTTGGATGAAAAAAAATCGGTAATTTTTTCACTTATCAAAGAGAATTTATGGGGCAATAGGCAATTAATCTTCAGATGAAAGGGGCAAATCATGGAAAATAAAAAACTGAGGGGCCTTTGTGTTATTTAATCTCTCTCTCTCTCTCTCTCCCCCCCCCCACCATTATAAATATATAATGTAATAATTACATCCATATATTATCAGCATTTGTTTCATTATCATCAACAAAGTCAAGGATTTAAATTAATTAGTTTTCCTGCTGCCCAAATTAATCTACAAACACGCAATGTTTGGACGTGGTTCAGCTCTACGGAAAAAGGTTTTTGTTTCGTGAAAACAATCCGACAAAGGGACACTGTGAATTCTCAAGGAAAGAGTTGTCGGGGAAAGGCACCGGAGTGGGGGAACATAGCAGCGAAATCGCTGAAGGAAAGACTGCAAACGAGAAACAAGAATACACCAACAAACAATACAGAGCGCCTTGATCCCAAATTCGTCTGGGGGCGGATTGCATAAGTACATTGTTAGGTCAAGGGCCGTTGTCTATTTCTTAACTCGGTGGAGGATATATCCATCCGAAACATCTCTGCTGGGATCGAGATAAACATGTCCCTTATCTCCTCTGGCATATCAATATCTTCAAGAACCTGCGAGACAACAAAATTTTTTAAAAAAAACGAAAGGCACAAGAAGGAAATGTGTTTGTGGAGCTCTGAGTTAAAAGAGTGCTGAGGACAAACCTTGAAAGCGCCATCTACATTGCGACCACCCACAAGGAAAGTGCAACCTGCTTGCTTGCAGCTACCAAGTACCTCCACCATCCTTTCATGGCTTCCATAGTAGTACTTCGGCTGCAACCAAAAAAAAAACAAAGGGTTAGAACGCTTATTCCTCTTATACAATACGCAACGGCAACGTTACTCGGAAAACCATTTCATAACAATAAACACAAGTCCAAATCCATAGGCCTATCATGGATAACAAGAAACTGCTATCGCATGTAAATGTGATTGTAGGGATTAAACGAAGTAACCAAAAAAAGAAAGAAAGAGGCGAAGCAAAGAATTCACAATAGCATTTCATACATTTACAAGCCTTGAGGCAGTGTCGGCACCAATAACAAAAGCGCTTCCTGGGAAAATTTCAGCCTTCTTGTAGAAATACGGCTGATTGGAAATTATCACTGTCTCTCCTGCCAATCAGATTCCAAACCATAGTCAAACAATAGCACAGAGATGCTTCCATAGACCACAAACTTGCAATTAGAAAATCATTTCAGCTCAAGTGATCCTTCCGCAATCCTTCTTCACTACTCGTATTCAATACCCATTGCACAGTTGTAAAATGGGAAATAATCTACTTCAGTCACCACAATGTCATCTGTTTTTTCCCTTATATTTTTACAGCTCGTACTGGTTTGGCAAAAGATAAAATGGTGAATGCAGAAACATAAAAGGCTTAAAACACAAACAGTTAAGGACTGAGTAACAAATAACAACCTTACCAACGGTTTCAAATTGCTTGACGCGATCTTTAATTTGTTCTATTGATAGTGGTGGTTTGTCTGCATTTACTGCTGATATTTCAAAACATGGATAGCCGCTCCCACATATACTGCATCACCACGGCTGCTGATGAGATTGTTTAAATTCTATTCGACACCAAAAAAAGAAGAAAAGTATCTAATTCGATGTTTGGAGATGATAATAATAAGAAAAACAAACGAGGCCCTTCCCAAATATTTCAACAATACAATCATCTCATACAGGAGCCATAAAGGGCAAACCGGAACCTATTATCGATTTCTCATAACCATTCTGTAATATTGCGTACCTGATTTATATTGCGATTAAAATATAAATCATATATATAAATATATGTGTATATAGGTAAATATATGTATACATATATATATTCGCATATATTTAATCATATATATATATATATATACATTTATTCAATCTTTTATATATATATATTTATAATGTATATACATGTACAAAAAATATACAAATATTATATAATGTAGAAAGTTTTAAAAAAACTAAAAACTTGTTTAATACTAAATAATTTAGGATATAATATTTTCATAAATGATATAATCAAAATTATAATACTATTAGTTTCAAATAATTATTCCAAATGAAAAATATAATAATTTATCATTTTTAAAAATTTATTACCATATAAAATTAAAAAAATTTAAATTTAAATTTATATTAGATCAAAATACATAATTTTGTAACCTATTTTTTTTATCTTTTTATTATCACGAAATGTATTAAAAATTTTTGTATTTTAATTATTTTAATTTATTTATATTTTTTAAAAAAAAATTCAAGCCCGAAGCCCGTCCCGAACCCGAAAAAAGCCCATAGGGCCGGGCTTCGGACCGAAGATTTTAGGCCCGTTGGTTTTTCGGGCCGGGCCGGCCCGACCCGGTCATTTTGACACCCCTACATTTAACATGGAACAAGCAATAGTTCCCAAAAACTCTATTAATTTACCTTGTTGCCACTTCCAGTAGCTTGAGATGACCCTCATGTAATGGGTTAAATGAACCAGGCAGTATTATCTTCCTATCTTCATGCGACCCATACGCTTCTGCAACAAAGTCAGTACTACACAATTAATGGCAAACAAAAAAACAAGGAAAAGAAAAGCGAAGTCTAACGTTTTACAAGTTTGCTTGGGTTAGATACCCGAAACCATACCACCAGAAAATGGATAAACCTTGAAGCAAATTTGCCCATTTATGAGCTGCTCTAATTCTTGTTCTTCAGTGAACTCGATTTCAGACTCATCAGGCACGTCAGATTCAGTCAAGCCAGAGTCGAGTGCTCCAGGAACTTTGCATGCCTTTGCTATTGCCTATAACCACAACAGAAAAAGTCTAAAGAAGATCAATCCTTGATACATCCAGCACAATGCCTTTGAGAAAAGTGGAGAGGAGCAAATTTCCAAAAACAGTAATTGGAACATAAATTTTTCCAAAAGGCGCATTATTTAAAAGCAAATTGCCAATACGCAGGTGGATGATAGCTTTATCACACACCTGGATAAGGAAACAGCTAGACACCTTATCCTCTTCCTCTCTGCTTCGCAGGTTCTAAAATGATCCAAATGGAATAAGTAAGCACACGAACATTACCACTGTATATTAAAGCAAAAAGAGGAAACAAAAACAAAACTTACAATCACCTTTGATAGGGTAATTGAAGATGTACAAAGCCGGTCAGATGTTCTCGTTGACAGAAAAAACCTATTCATATAATAACTGAAAAAAGTGAGCAATAGAGTGACGGAATCACCACGCTATGAACAATTAAAGCCCTATGACCTGTGATCCCCACGTTTTGGATGAGTTGTCGCCAAAGTTCCCGTAAAGCCCACACCAAGAACTGGATAACCTAATCACCATATTACAGAACAGAACAATAAGACCAATGCTTGTCCAAAATTGACATTCCAGCGTTTCTATTTCTCCCCAGCAAGCAATTTTGATAAGGAAAATATAGAATTGGTCACGGAAATAAAGAGCAGCTCTGAAGTAACCTGGTTTTGAGAGTTTAAGCGCCCGATTATAGGCTAACAAAGCCATCTCCTCCGCAATCCCACGGCTGCAGTGTTGGCTCGGAACCTAAAAAAGGAAAAAAAAAAAAAAAACAGCAGAGTGAATCTGCAATAGTCTCGGAAGGAAAAGCCCATTTGAACCGATCGCCAAAAGGAGTACAAACCCTTCCCAGCAATTGGACCATAGATATTCTTGAATAAGGAACCACGGTTTCGAGAAGAGTGTTTGAAGCTCCCGGAACCGACATCAACCAACCTAATGCCTGAGTAGGGTTTCGATTCCAGGGACAATGATGAGATTGCTTATCATGCGCATACATACATATAGAAAGAGATAGAGAAAGAGAGAAACCAGAGAGGCGCCGCCGGCGAGATAAACGACGGCCTGAGTCGGCGATGAGTGAATCGCTTCAACGACGGCTCGGATCGCAGCGTCGGCCATTTTCGCCTCTCCCGGCTCCGCCCGACAAGACAACTCCAGCCCTCCATACGACTCCGTCGTGGAGGAAATGCACAGGAAGCTTTCGCATTTCGTAATTTGTGCCCCGAAATAATTCCCAGTTGACGATAGAACCCCGCATGTTTTGATAACTGCTATACGCCCCTTTCGGCGAGGCCTAGGGCCAGGCCTACGATGCTTTCAGCGTACTGCCGGTTACGGGGAAGGGTGGGCGTTTCGGGTTTCGATTCGGTATTCAAGCAGTTCGGTTCGGGAACGGTATTTTCGGTTTTATAAAAAGTGTACCAAACTAGAACCGAATGTTAAGCGGTTCGGTTCGGTTCGGTTTTAGTATCGGTTCGGTTCGTAACGGTATCATTATATAAATACTAAATAAGTACCGAACTATAATATTTACACATATATTAGTGGAATATTCGAATTTTGGTTCAGAATTCATACGGTTCGGTTCGGTATTCATACGGTTCGGTTCGGGAACGGTTTATTCGGTTCCATAAAAAGTGTACCAAATTAGAACCAAACGTTATTCGATTCGGTTCGGTCCGATTCAATTTCAGGACGGATCGGATCGGTACTAAATTTCCGAACCGAAGTGCCACCCTAATTACGGGTATATCCCCGAAACAACGAGGTTACATGGCCTTTTTCTGTTGCAAATTACCGTATCACGACAACGATTGCAACAAGGAGGATGCACGCTGGACTTCCACGTGTCGGCCCTTGTAAATAGGGATGGGCCTTTTGACCAAACCGTATGGAAGTGAAAATCTCAGACATTTTTTCTATACCATTTAAAATTTTTGAAAGATATATTTTTTTATAGAACCGAATTTTGTAAAATCGAATCGAATTTTATAAGATTTCTGAAAAACCAATTTTTTTAAAAAAGTCTAATTTTTTTTAACAAAAACTGAATCGAATCGTATCGAAACCGGAACCGAACGAATAATATACCGTATTAAATTGGTATAAATTTTAGAATACCAAATAAACCGTTATCAAACCGAATCGCTTAAATTCCGAAGCGAATCCGAAATGCCCATCCCTGTTCGGCATTTTGTTTTCTTGGTCGGGACGCATGATCAAACTCTAAATTTGACACTCCTATCGATTCGGCCGTTGCAATAACCAGGGGGCCGATCTAATCTAACTACTGCAAACCCAACTCAGCCGTTGACTTTGTCGGACAACCAGCAACTACGTTTGCTTCTCTCTATGTTGTTTTGAAATTCACTAACCAGTCTCTTTTTATTTATTATTACACGTATGGGCCCTTGTAGATCGTTTCGCATATATAATATGATGCGTGATGGGTCGTGTTTGTGTACCTTAGCATTAAAATAATACTAATGTGGGCCACCTCAAGCCGCGTCTCTGAATGGACTTTATCTCCTCCGCTGAGATCCACCACTCTCTCACTAGTCACTACCTTTTTTCCCTAATAAAAGCTTCCGCTGCACCCAAATTGAAAATTATGATCAAGTTTTCCACGCAAGGGGGGCATGGATCTCTGCAGCTGGGCTGTCACCAATCAATAAGCTCCCCATACCCCTCGCCCATCCCTTTAATTCCTGTACAGAACATAAAAGATAGAGACGATCGAAGACCATAATGATTGATGGAGACTGTTTGCTCATGTAAATTATTCATGCTTCCAGGGAGATCAGGCGGGAATTTGATAGATGGAAAGTGGGCAGTCCAGTGCACAAAGCATCTCCGTTGATGATCGAGGGAAGGATCCCACCACAAGATTCTATTACAGACAAACCTTAACTTGCATAATATTCTGCAAGAAATTGTTTTCCGAACTCAAACCCATGATTTTTAGATCACAACGACAATACCTTGACCAACACTTAATATGCCCATATGCGTGATAAGTTTCAATGTTGTATCCCAAGGCTAAGACCTAGATCAATATTGCCCCCACCCTCCTTGATCTGAGTGTAACATGCATGAAATTTTGAAGAACTCAGAAAAATACCAGGTGCCTTTGATTCCATTTACGGTTTTTCTGTTGACAAATAAAGATTCAATTCAGGAATTTAGAGCACAGGTGCAAATTGAGATGAAACAGAGCTCAAAGATGTCAATTTAGACACACAATGCAACCATGGTTGGAAGTTGCCATAACTGCAGAAAGGGAAGAGAAAAAAAAACAATAACTTATTATCAGTCACACAAGAGCCAGTTGGCGGTTTCTTTATCTCCTTTTTTTGTCAGATACCACCTACCACCAAGAGCAAGGGATGGACTGGTCACAGATAAATATGGTGACCCAGCATTGCTGCAATTTTACAGGTAGACCACCACCGAATCAACCAGTACAAAACATGAACCCATCAACCAAAGCGTAATTACTTTCAGGATTGATACTACCATCACAACAAACACATACTCCACCATAGTGCACTTTGTCTCCATGATATCATAGAAGTAGTGAAGTACTAACAAGTAAATGTCTCGAGCTAAAACCTGAAACCTCTTAAAATTACATAGATTAAAGAGCATAAAGGGTAATTCATGCTGGGGATTTGGACAACTTATCACTACCGATTCATCTCCATAGAGTTAAATATGTCGCGATATCAACGGAAAGTGTCTAGACAACTAAATGTCTCAGTTGAAGCCCAACACCAATTGATAACACAATAGAACAATGGAGAAAAGCCTGTTTCCTGCTTGTTAATAATCGGTTGATAAAATTTTTTAAAAAAAAATTGATTTATCTGCAGAGAGAACAAGGCTCCACTGTAAGGGACATCATCTATGAATTGGACTGTATAAAAAAAAAAGATAAGAGTTAGGGATGGACTTACAGTATGGTCGAAGGGCAAACTCTGTCAAAAGAGAGCTTGCTACTCCATCACAAGACAAGTCAGTTTGCCATTATCTCTGTCTTCCGCACCTTGTATGCAAAGTAGAGTTGTGTAATATGATCGATCCAAGACAGAAAAGATACCACTGAATCCATGTCTACACAACTGCTTCAATGGATAGGTTTAAGCACACGTTCTCAAAGGGGCAGGGGCTACAAGAAAAACTTGACAAAGATTCTTTTTAAAAAGGCAAAATAAAATGAAATGGCTCATCATTACAATAAAATGAACAAAATCATCACAATAGACAATATCCCATGATTTCTTGAGAAGTTTTTCCTAACTACTAAGTGTATAACTAGAAATCCGGCCTCCTGTACTGAAGTACAATGTTTCCAGAAAGTCGGATGTAAGCAAAATGTATGGTTTTGACCTCTGGTCGTGTCAGCGTTTCAATGTATCTCCTTTCCGACTCTCACATGCGTCTGAAACATGCATTTCTTAGATAATAACTGGTCGAAGTCTTGACAAAAACATCCAGAATCAAGTAACGAAGAGCTGACAAAGTTCGCTTACAGGCAGTCATAACGGCAGAGAAATTCAATTATACACGGATACACTTGCTCCACAGCCTGCAGGGAAAGTTGTAATAGAAATGATTCAGAAAGAAAATAGAGGTCAGACATGATACAGTATATGAACAAAGTTCCACCACAACAGATTAGAAAACGAGCAGTGAAGAACATACAAGTCGTCCTCCGACCAAATCATAGTGTGCGTAATGTGGGCCATCTGGTTCTCCAAACACCTTATAAGTAGCCCGGTCCCGAGGAAGTAGCTTAACAGTTTCTGACATATTCATAAGCAATGACTTTAACGCAGTAGAAAGAAAACGACACCATGAGTGGGTGGGTACTAAGCAATTAAAGTTAGTATCTAAACAATTTGAGAATCTTGTATTCATGTGCAGGAAGTAGAATGATAAAAATTGATCATACACACCTTATACGGCCTCTCAAAAGCATTATAGTGTAGG